TAAAACTAATTGAGCAGATTGTCCTTCACTATGCGCCTCAAATTAATTAATAATTATTCTTGTTTAGTCCTTTTATGTTCTCTGCTCTGCCATTAAACTTGTAGAAATATGCTTCACGAGAGGACAGTCTTCCTGGCTGGATTGCAAGAAGGTAGATTGGCTTATTAGAATAGTCCTTTGTGTCCATTCAAAGTGGAGCTGCAGCAGATGAAGCCTGTCCCTTCATTTTCTTAGATGGAGAGCTCCTCGTCAATTAAAACCTTGGCCATATGGAAACGTGGTCCTATGAACCACCCACCATATGGAGAAGCTGAGCAATTCTAATGTACTACATTCTCCCCTTCATGCTCACAACAGACAGATGTTTCTCTTCCATGGTTATAAGAAGGGAAGCCTGCATGAATTAAACCAGGCCACAGCTTATTCTAGCCTGGCATTATGGGAAGACTCTTTGCCTACAAAATAGTGGTTGGTAGAACATTTTGCAATGTGTTATCTCTGTTCTTCTTTAAACATGCAGCACTCTCAATGGTAGGGATAGTTTCATTCCATAAGTCCATATTAATTATTCCATAATTAATAAATTTATTCCATAAAAACTAACAAAGCAAAGAAGCAACCTAGAACTAAGGAGGAATTTCCTGAGAGTGAGAACCATCAACCAGTGCAACAGCTTGTGTTCAGAAATTGTGGGTGCTCCATCACTGGAGGTTTTCAAGAAGACACTGGACAGCCATTTGCCTGAAATGATATAGGATCTCTTACTTGAGCAGGAGATTGGACTAGAAAACCTCCAAGGTCCCTTCCAACAATGATGATGGTGATGATTGATGATGATGATGATGTCGGTGATGATGATAATAAACCTCTGAAAGGACTGTGTTGTATCTCCTACTTACAGTACAATCCTTTCAGGAGTTCAAAGAAGGCTCCATATCCATTTACACTATTCAGTTGACTCTGAAGGCACAGATAAACCTCCAAATGGCTTCAACGACTCTCAGGATATAAATCCTTCCATTCTCTACCATTCAGTCAGAACTGAAGAAGCTTCTTGGATGAGAAGAGAAATGTCTTCAAGGAAGAACAAAGAAAGTCCACTTGCCTCTTGAAAAAAAAAACACTTTTGGGACAACCATGACCTGGAGAACTGAGAATCTCCATAGATACTATAGGCAGATCTTCTGCATATTTATGGCCTTCTAGTTTGTCAGTGGTAAAGCAATTTATGCATCTGTATCAAGTTTCTGAATCTCTATGTTTCAATAACACTTAATGCTAACATTCTCCAATAGATTTAGGGGTAGAATAATTCAATTATTCTGACTGAAATAACAATAACAACTATAACAATGAAGCAGTGGCAGTAATGGTGATCTGGATAATACTGAAAAATAGGCAGACAGGCTTAAGGTAATTGTGTAGGTTTACTCTTGTGTAGATACCAAATTGTCCCACAAGGTTAATGCAGTCCTTGCTCCTAATCTGTTAGGTTTGTTGAATATGATAAAATGAACCATGAGGAAATAACCCACGGGAGCTATTTTTGTTATTCACAAATTCACCTTCTAGAGAGTGGATGGCATTTGTGCTCCCTGGGATGCATTTTACATGAAAGCAAAAACAGAAAGAGAGAAAAGAAAAGAAACTCAATATTTGCTTCTCTATGAATCAAGAGCTATGAGCGGTCCATTTTTGAACTAGGCTAAAAGAAGGGATAGAACCATTTTTTGTCAACTCACTTTGTGGGTGGAGGGGAACACCGGTTATTTCTTCATTTGGACAAATGGTGAATCAACAACCCTTATAATCTATGCCAAGGGAAAGCTAATTGTTGCTGCATTTGGATTTTTCAAGCAGGATTACTTATTTCTGGGAGAGGCTTGGTCATGGGAATGCTCACTCAGCAGAAGTGTGAAATGTCTCATTTCTATTCAGAGAATGCAGAGTTCTTATCTTTGTCAAGAGTATCACCACGAGGGTGGCACCTGGATACGTATGACTCAAAACCAAAAATCCTCCATTTTGGTTGCATTTATTTACTAAGTCTATGCAGGACTTCATATTTAATATTTTTAAAAAATTCAGAGCACATAGGAGCTCTAAACAAGTCTTGATCTGCAACAGACTGAAATAGCTGTATTTTGATTCAGGCTTCTCTGTTACTGTTCTTGGTTACCTTGTGCTTCTTACTGGCCCACCATTCATGGTTAGAGTTCAGCGAAGCTTCAACTCAGACATTTGAAGTCAATTAACTGAATGTCTAAATCGAACAATTGTCTGAATTAGATCAAATCACAGCAGTAAATTGAAACGGATGCCTTCTAATTCATTGGATGATACAAATCATTTCTCATTATTAAATTGCACCAATAATATAGATGGGAAGTAATCTACCTATGGAAAGAGAGAGAGAGACAGACAGACAGACAGACAGACAGACAGACAGAGACAGAGAGACACAGAGAGAGAGGCAGACATTGCTAATTAAAAGAAAAATCTCATTGCATTCATTGTGATATATTATAGAGATAGCATTGTGCCATGAAGCATTCTTTGACAACTTGGGGGGAAACGCTACATTTTATTCTATTGTTGTTAGGCAAAGCAGGTTTTTTTTCCAAAAAATATATTTTGCATTGCACTGGACATCTTTAAACTACAAGCAGCTGTAGCAGGAATAAGAGAATGCCAGTTGCATTCTACCCTGAACTGACTTTTGAATACCGTTGCTAATTTTATGGCAGGAGCTATGTGTAGTATGCATTATATCTTTCCCAAAAGTTACCTTCAGACTCTTTAGACATTCAGGTCTTAGCAGAAAATCAACACTGCCAGTGGTCTGGGCTTATGTCATGTCTGTCATAAACATTGTGTATTGCCAAATGGATGGTTAAACTACAGCCTTCTTCCCTTCCCTACCTCACCTTGAATACAGATTTATTTCTTGTATATGTATTTATGTCCTACTTTTGATTATCTGGATATTATATGCAGATGTGAAGTTCCATACCTTCAGTTTTCCAATTGCCAAATGTCCCTTTCTATTTATCTAAGCTAAGGTGATGATTATAACACGTCCATAGATTAATTAATCAAAGTTGTGCCCAGATAAAATTGAAGTAATAGCAGTAACCTCTGGAGTAACCTCTGATTGGACTTGGTTTCCTATAATTTTCACAAAATTATTTTGGTTTGGTGGTAGGAGAGAGATTGTCGGAGGGAGATGACTTCGTCTATATTATGAAATAGAAAGTGAAGTGACATAGGGAAAAGAAGGGAATGTTTAGGATTCATCATTTTTCAACCCAATTTGAAAATTTCCTGATATAGACCAACTGCAGTAGTTGAATACTCATGAATTGACAAATTCTGAATTCGTCTGCCCTTAATTACCAGCATCGATAGGGACTGCACTGAATGCTGATTTATAGCCCTGCTCAATAAAAATTGCTCAATGGTACTGAGAGGTGACTCTCGCTCCATGTTTACCAAAGAATAACACTGGAAATCCGTTGCTTGTTTGTATAGATCATCTTATCAAAAAGGTCAGATTGAAAAATTGTCTGAATACGGCAATGTCATTGATGGCTTTGTTACGTAATCCCCTAACACATTATTTTATTCTGAGAAAACTTGATGGGTTACAGAAAGGTTTGTTTGTTTTTTAAAACAAAAAACAAGCATTTATCCCAGAAGATAAGAGATGTAGCAAAGAAATTTCCCTGGAATACAAATATCCCATACATATTGTGTTCTTTTCCCCTGCAATATAAACTTGCAAAAGATTATTTCTAGATGCATAGAATAACACAGAACAACAGAGTCAGAAGGGACCTCAGAGGTCCTCTAGTCCAACCCCTTTCTCAAGCAGGAGACCCTATACCATTTCAGATGAATGGTTGTCCAGTTTTGAAAGTCTCCAGTAAATGGAGCACCCACAACTTCTGAAGGCAAGTTGTTCCATTGGCTGATTGCTCTCGTTGTTAGGAGCGGTACACGGCTGCTTTTCGAAGGCATGCTCACTAGCCCAAGAACCACTTCCACACTTCTTCCAACTGATTGTATGGGGGCCCTTCTGCAGGCCAAACCCACCTATCTATCCACTCCACTGAATGAAGCCCTATATTGTTGGTCACATGAGTAAAACTAGGTGTAGGTCCCATATATAATTAAAGTAGCCAAATAATAATAACTTGAACTGTCTGCACCCTCGAAGAATGCATTTGGTTCACCTGAAACTGTTAGTGGAATAGAACATTGGGAAATAGCTGCATGTCAGTGTTCCAACGAAACTCCCCATACTCACTCAGCACTCAGAGACAAAGTTAATCCAAGTAAGAATTTATTAGAGAAGTCATATTGACACATCTGGAAAAACTTGAATCTGAGAGTTCCAGGTTTTCCCTTCCCCAAGAGAAATTCAAAGATCCATCCCCTGCACCCATCATATCATGGCCCAATCAGATCTTCGTCCCAACTGGAGACCTTCCTCCAGACACTACCCTCCAGGTGCAGGGCAACATGTCCTTGACTCTCTGAGAAAGAATGTTGTTGAGTCTAATCATCTACTCACTAAGAAATCCCCACTCCCAAATTCCCAGGCACTAAATGTGGTAGCCTCAAAGCTTCCAAATGAAATATGGCTCCCAAGGCTGACACTGTCCTTGAGTCCCCAGTTAGCTATGAATGGGTGGACTCCCTTGACACATAACACAACAAGAGGATAACAAGAGCTGGAAGAGAGCTTGGAGGCCTTTTGTCCAACCTCCTGCTGAAGGAGGAAACGCCATCCCATTTCAGAGAAATGGTTGTCCAATTTCTTCTTAAAAACCTCCAGGGTTGAAGCACCTGTGACTTCTGGAGATTGTGGGTGAACATTATGAGCAATAATGAACATTGTGTGCATTATGAACAAGATTTCCATTCAAATGATGCTTTGAAATTGTAGCTTGTTATTACCGCCTGCGTATGTTTGTCATTTCTTCCATTTTCTTCAGGTGCAAAGAAGGCTACCAAGGAGTCCGCTGTGACCAATTTTTGCCGAAAACCGACTCCATCTTGTCAGATCCAAGTATGTCTTCCTTTCTTTTCTCCCCCGTCCCTTCTTCTGTCTTTATTGCTTGCCAGAGGTGATGTTTGCCAGGACAACGTGGCCTTTCTCTGAATGTCCAGGTTCCATTGCATCTCACCCTTAAGTCCTTCCAAAGGGTTTGGTCATAATCTGAGCAGGCTCTTCTTCCTTCCTCCTCTAAATTATGCTTCCAGGGAGGAAAAAGAGCTGCAAGAGGGACATTCTTCCGAGTCATTGTATACACTGAATTGATGGCAAAAAGTCAAGTTACATGTCCCTTTAAAAGAAGAAGAGACCTTGATTGATTAAGTCAAATGGATTGTATCAGACATACAGAACTGATTCAAAAATTCAAGTAGGTTCAAAGAAAACAGAATAAATAAAAATAAAAGAGTTACAAGAGGGACATTCCTCTGAATCATATGCCGAATTGATGGCAAAAGTTGAGTCCCGTGTGAATATTTATGTCCCTTTGAAAGAGGAAGAAAACTCGATTAAGTCCATTGATTGTATCAAATAGGTAAAGCTAATTCAAAAATGCAAATAGGCGCATAGAGAACCAAATTTTGCAATAAATCATCCACCCTGCAGTTAACCCCAATCTGATATGTCCCCTTGGAAATCTTACTGGTGATGTGCAGGCTTGTTCCATGAAATGTAAGATTGTTTCTCCTGGGTGGCCCGTTATTTTTTTAGTTTTTAAATAAGGGTCTAAATATGAAGTACAATTTACAGTCAAGAAAATCCTCTTTAAAAGAAAATCAAGGGCCAACTCTTTGAAACATCAAAGATAGAATCTTCATACATCGCTAAAATATTTTTTGAAATGGGTCACTGATTAATTATAGTTTAGGATTCAGTGACACCACCCCCCCCCCCAAAAAAAATCAGTTTTCTAACATAAAAATGAAAATTGCATTTGCAGAAGAAGAATCCACATACTCTAGGTGATGCTCAAAACTGGGGCTGTGACTTCACTGAGGGGATTCCACCATTGTTGAATGTTAACATTTGCATTGGGTTTGTAGTTTATTTGAAAAGCGCCTTTGTGGTGATTGCTCCCCAACATGGAAAGTTCAGACCAATGAAATACAGATTTGATTTGGCTTGATAATGGAGAGTCTTCAGCCATCCAGGTCAGAGTTGTCCCAAAGGTGGTTTTTCAAGAGGCAACTGGACTTTCTATTTTTCTTTGAAGACATTTCACTTCTGGAGAATTAGACTTCTTGGATGAGAAGAAGCTTCTTGGATATGAACATCTTCAAGGAAAAACAAAGAAAGTCCTGTTGCCTTTTGAAAAAAGCACCTTAGGGACCTATCAAAGTTAGGGACCTATCAAAGTGTTTGCCTATAGGCTCCTCTGGGATTTTTTAAAAACTTATTTCAGTTATTCATAGATCATAGGCAACTTGTCATATGTCAAATGAAGCTGAAAAATATTCTGTTGTCACCATTCTTCCTATTGTAACAGTTCCCCAGGAACCTTGTGCTTTCATCATCTCTCTCTCTTACACACACCCATATGTACATCCTTGTCTGTGTGATGTGTTGCAGATCAGCCTCAATTTATCCTTGCTGTGAGATTCTATAAATTCTATATATTGCTTGAATGTCAGAGCTTTTTCTTTTGCAAATAACTGTTTCATGTTCTTTGCGGTTTATTTTTAACACTGCCCTTTGCTCTGTTTGCAAGGATTATTGGGACAACAACGATAAAGAACATCTGATTATTTTATTACATTGTTATTCCGGCTGTTGCTTTTTAGTTTGGCATGGTTTTCCTCTAGTCTAATCATTAACATTAATAATTATTGTCAAACAAGGTGACACATGAGCCTGCTTTTCCATTGTGTTTGTTTTTTTTTTAGAATGAAACTTATGTCTGACTGCACACATAAATGTCGAATAAAAGTATCTTTTCCTCAAGGTAGATCCATGTAAGAAAGCAGTAATCTTGATGCAGAAGCAACATTAGACTTATTCAGTTCTGGTGTCACCATGCATAGGATGATCCAAGCATTCAAAATATCAAAGTTTCACTTGATTGCTCTAAAGGTTTAGAAGATTCCTTTTGGTAGGTAACCTGCACTGGAGCCCACCCTTCAGATCTAGTTCATGGTCTATGGGTTCAGGTTACTTCAGGGACCACCTCCCCCTCTTTTGCTGGCAGAGGAGGGGACCTGCTGAAGGTCCTGTCAGCCCGATTATTCCAGCTGGTGGAGTCCAGGAGCAGGGCCTTCTCTGCTGTGGCCCCAGCCCTCTGGAACCTCTCGCCCCCACCCACCCCCAATCTGAGGTTGGCCCAACACTCCCAACTTTTCAGAACGGCCTGAAGACTTGGCTGTGCCAGTTGGCTTGGGACCCCAGTAGGGGATCAGAGCATTGGAGGGAGTTGATTCAGTAATAACTGATCCTACCTCCCCGCCACATGCCCCTGCCCTCCCCCGTGTGCATTTTTAGTATTAATGCTGGATTTTAACGTTTTACGTTTTAGCTTTTATGTAAGAGTAAGCCACTCAGAGTTACCCTGTGATAAGATGAGTGGCCAATTAAATAATTCATTAGTTCATTAATTTTCCTTGTTATCTTCTGGGAGGGGGCTCTGCGGTATCCAAAGCAGAATATCCAGATTCAGTCACAGTTTTGCTCCATAAGAGCATCAACCTCTTATGAACTCTCTCAGGTTACTTCTTTCCACTACGTATTTCAAAATGGACAGTGATACATACATACATACATACATACATACATTTGTGTGTGTGTGTGTTTATGAATGTATATGTGTGTTGTGTATGCGTTTGGGTAGATATACACTTTCTCTTGAGAGCAGGCAATAGAATTTCATTTTTAATGTGTGCTCACAGTAAAAAAAAAAAAAATGGGCAGACATCAAGTGAAATATTGTACACAGACCTCAAAGAGTATTATGGGATTTATTAAAGGACAGATTCAGGACAAGCTCAGGAAAAACATCTTCACTTGAAGCTTTCCTCTTTTCCATTCCTTCCAGGTGTCAAAGAATTATAAAGCCCCAAATTCTCAGTTCAGCATGGTTTCCTTTGACAGCTTTGGGACATACAAAGGCATTCGAGAAAAAGTTTGTGATAAAAAAAATATCACCTATTGTTACCCAGGCTTCCCTCAAATATGTATAACAAACATTATTATGTGAGATTTTGTCTGCAATCTTCTAGTATTTAATCTTCTATTAAAAATAGACCAGGTTAGGAAAAAGACACTGCTAGAAATACCAGCACTCTAAATTTATTGATGTACATATAATTAAATCTTTAAAAGATGGGCAGAGTGTCTCTTTCCCTTTTTCTTATGCTGAAGAAAGTTAAGGTGGTGAATTCCTTCCTTCCTTCTCTTCCTCCCTTTCCACTTCCCCCTTCTCCTTTCCTTTTTGCTTCCTCCCTCCCTCCTTCTTTCTTTCTTTCTTTCTTTCTTTCTTTCTTTCTTTCTTTCTTTCTTTCTTTCTTTCTTTCTTTCTTTCTTTCTTTCTTTCTTTCTTTCTTTCTTTCTCACTCTTCTTCACCACCCATCTACCTCATAGAAGAGCTCTAAGTGGTGCATATTTTAATCAATATAATCAAACATTAAAAACTGGATAATTTAGAATTTTTAAAAAGTAAAATTGTAAAACAATTTTATAAATTTTCAGAGAGAGAGAGAGAGAGATGGGGCAAATAGGAATTGTTAATAGAGGCAGCGGGGGAGGAATCACAGTACTCACTGGGCCAGGCAGTCTTGTGGCTGTGTGGGCCCCTATGTTCCCGCTCCCAATGCCAAGCTACACAGCCAGTTTTGGCCCCTTTGTGGAAAGCCAAGAGTTTTCTTAGAACTTCCTGGTTCCTTCTTTGTGTAAGTATAAATCTATGACAGCATCTTATTGCCAGTCTTGTGATTGCTGTGCTTAATAAGGCCATGTCCTCTTTTGCCCAGATGGGCAAGCTAAAATTAGAGGACCTATAATATAATATAACAAGCTCCAAGAACTTGTCAGAACCTATTTACTGGCCTTAAAGCAAGAAAGTTGAACATTTAAGCAGCCGTCACTCTTGAAGACCAAGGAAATAAACCCAAGTAATAGAGGTCATTTTGGGATTACTACAAAAGTGTCCTGAACGGTCCATTAAGATATAAACAGTTCTCAGAAAAGCTACTTTATATTGTCTTAAATGACATTAGTTATTTTCAGGTTTCAATTCTGAAAACAGCTGTTTGAAAGAGTCAGCCTTTTGGAAGTGCTCTAATGACCTCTTTCTAACAAATAACAAAATTACATTATGGCTGCAGTCACCGAAATAGCATGCATATTTAAAAACTGATGGCGATGTTTTGTCACAGAAGGGCCGATAAACATCCTGTCTTAAAATAACTATGAAAAAGTTCTGGTGGGTCATGAACTTTTGTGTTCTCTTTGTTCTTCAGATTTTCAGAAAGAATTTGGTCAGATAAATATACAAAAAATAATAATGTGTACCTATCTTTCCCATGCAGAGCTGAGCACACGTTCCTGTTAGCCCAAACAGGAATATTAAACCTTTTAAAAATGCTGTATATTATTTAAAAAAATTGACCAGTGCATGCATACACACATTATCTATCTATGCATCTATCTATGTATGTATCTATCATCTATCCATCCATCCATAACTATGTATTTAACAGTCATGTTTCATCTGTCATCTATCATCTCTCTCTCTCTCTCTCTCTCTCTCTCTCTCTCTCTACCTATCTATATGTATGTATGTGTGTGTGTGTGTCTATCATTTATCATCTATCAATCATCTATCATATATTCATCCTATGTATCTGTCATCTATATCATCTATATCATCTATCAGTCATCTGTCATCTATTTATTTTCTACTTATCTCATCAATCATCTATCTCTATATCAATCATCATCAATCATCTATTTCTATATCTATCTATCTATCTATCTATCTAATATTTACAGTTAATTTGTGGAGTGAGATGGGCCACATATAAAT